AAAAAAAAAAAAAAAAAAAAGAAAAAAAAAGAAAATCAGACAGGTGGGAGAGACAGAATAAGATAGGATGGAAGAAGATAAGAGAGACCGAATTGGAGATGGGAAGATGCGGACTGGCATGCGGGGAGAGACAAAGCGGAAGAGGCTGTTGCAGCTGGGGGAGGGGGGGTTGGGGAGTGGAGGACTGTCTTCCTCTAGCCCTGAGCCCTGACCCTGACCCGTCCACCACCCGCAGGTCCTGGCCCTGTACAACCAGCATAACCCGGGTGCCTCAGCGGCGCCGTGCTGTGTGCCGCAGGCGCTGGAGCCGCTGCCCATCGTGTACTACGTGGGCCGCAAGCCCAAGGTGGAGCAGCTGTCCAACATGATCGTGCGCTCCTGCAAGTGCAGCTGAGGCTCCGCCCCTCCCCGCCCCGCCCCGGCAGGCCCGGCCCCGCCCCTCCCCGCCCCACCCCGCCCCCACTGCCTTGCCTATGGGGGCTGTATTTAAAGACACCCGTGCCCCAAGCCCACCTGGGGCTCCATTAAAGGTGGAGAGAGGACTTCGGATCTCTGTGTCACTGGACGCCTAACTGGGATCTCCCTCCCTGACGTTTCCCTACTCCCACCCCATCTCCCTCCCTGTCCACCTCCTCCTGCCTGTCTGCACCACTCGCCTTGCATCAAGGCACAGGCGACCAGTGGGGAACACTACTGATCCCTGCTGGTAGTTAGATCTATTTATTGAGCACCTTGGGCACTGTTTTAAGTGCCTTATATTAGTGACCTCATTCAACCACCATAGCAACACTGAGATGCAGGGACTCTGATAAAACACCCATTTTAAAGGTGAGGAGGTCAGCCATGGTGGCTCACGCCTGTAAACCCAGTGCTTTGGGAGGCTGAGGTGGGCAGATCACCTGAGGTCAGGAGTTTGAGACCAGCCTGGCCAACATGGTGAAATCCTGTCTCTACTAAAAATACAAAAATTAACCATGTGTGGTGGTGCATGCCTGTAATCCCAGCTACTCGGGAGGCTGAGGCAGGAGAATCGCTTGAACCTGGGAGGCAGAGGTTGCAGTGAGCTAAGATCTCCACACTGTGCTCCTCCGTCTCAGAAACAAAAAAAAAGTGAGGAAACTGAAGCACAGAGAGGTTGAGGGAGGAATTCCTGCCTACCAGGAACCTGCTTTAGTGGGGGATGCTGAGGAAGACAATAAAAGTAGTTCAGGCCAGGCGGGGTGGCTCACGGCTGTAATCCTAGCACTTTGGGACGCTGAGATGGGATGATAACTTGAATCCAGGGATTTGAGACCAGCCTGGGTAACAAAGTGAGACTCTATCTCTACAAAACATTTTTTTTTGAGATCAAGTTTTGCTCTTGTTACCCAGGCTAGAGTGCAATGTCACGATCTTGGCTCACTGCAACCTCCCCCTCCTGGGTTCAACCAATTCTTCTGCCTCAGCCTCCCGAGTAGCTGGGATTACAGGCGTGTGCCACCACGCCCAGCTAATTTTTGTATTTTTAGTAGAGACAGGATTTCACCATGTTGGTCAGGCTGGTCTTGAACTCCCGACCTCAGATGATCCACCCTCCTCGGCCTCCCAAAGTGCTTGGATTACAGGTGTGAGCCACCATGCCTGGCCACAAAACATTTTCTTTTTAAATGTACGCTTGTGGTCCCAGCTACTCTGGAGGCTAAGGTGCGAGGATCACTTGATCCTGGTAGGTCAAGGATCAGTGGCCATCAGTGGGTCTCCCTCTGCTGTCTCCATCTCTTCCCATCTGCTATGGTCCCACTCCTGAATTCTCTCCTGCTTCCTCTTTCTCCCAGGTTTCACTTCCCCAAGCCCAGTGATTCTCCTCCTGGGAGGGAGGACAGTGTGACTGCTGTGATTTCTTTGCCTGTGGGCATGAGAGCTGTTGGCAGCAGTGGGTCTGGGTGCCAGGGTCCTGGGGCCCTCCCAGCTCAGCCTAGGGGTAGAAATGTGGTGACTCCTCCAGCCCCAGGTCCAGAAGCACAGAGGGGTGAGGCAGAGAGAGGAGTGGGAAGCAGGAGGAGTTCACTATGCAAGGACGTGCCAACAAGTGGATAGGTATAGAGACGCTGAGGCCTGGCCCCAAGAGGCAGTCACAAGTGTAGGACACAGTGACACGGCTGTCATCGCTGCAGCCCTGGGAGGATGCGGCGCATGTACACATACAGACATACTCACACGGGGGGAAGCTCGGATGGTGGCCGCAAACATTCACTTCTCACAGCCGCCGTGAACACAGACACTCCTGCAGGGCCCAGAACACGTGGGCTGTGTCATTTGGCGGCAGCTGCAGCCCACATACACACAGATACAAATAGAGTGCCAGCCCATCGCATAAACACCGCCCAGCCTGGGAGCCTCACTGGGACACAACAGGAGCAGAGACTTCAACGGGGACCTGGCGCAACACAGTAATACAAATATATTCCATAGGGTCATGGTCGCAACCACCATACACCAGACACTGATTCAAACAGACAGTGTCATGCGCGCGCACACACATCGCGGCATCACAGCCCCAACAGGAAATGGATCCCCCAGCAGCTGCCTCCTCTCCCACGGGGTCACAGTCACAAACAGCCCCAGGGTGCCTGTCCACGGTCGGACCCGTCACAATCCCACCAGACACACCCCACACGGAGGTTTGACGCGTCACAACCGCACAGACAGCAGGTTGGTCTTACCCACTCAGTCTGACATCCCACACCCTCCGCCACACACGCACAGCTCTAGCCTGGGGAGTCCCACAGGGCCCCACAGACTGCAGGCGACCCCGTCACGCCCAGATACACTGTCACACCCAGGGTCCCAGACAGAGCAGACACACCCCCAGGGTGGCAGACGCAGCCCTCACACGCCCAGCCCCAGCTCGTGCCTCAGCCTGAGGACAAGTGCTGGCTGCGCACTCGCGGTGTGGTCAGCCTGTCTGCCCCGCCCTCGTGACACACCCCGCCCACCTGCCCGGGGCTGCCGGCTGAGCTGGCACAGCCCCGCAGGGCGGGGAGGGGAAAGTGTGGGTTCAGCACCTTCCCTAGCCGCGTGCGGGCTGCCCCTGCCCTGCCACCCTGGCACCCAAGCCTGCTGGGTGGCTCGGCCCCGTCGGAACAAGTCTGCCCTCCGCCTGTGGCCAACCACAGGAGCAGGGCAGGGGGTTCGGGACGCCCCGCGCCCTGTTCCCGCCCCGCCCCCGCCTCTGCAGGCAGCCGGGGCCACAGAGGGAAGTCGTGGGGGGAGCCTGGGTTCCGGCTGGAGCCCCAGCTTCCTGTCCGGCCCCCGTGGGGCAGGAAGCCGCTAGGGGAGGCCAGCTCAGGCCTTCCTGCCCCCTCCCACGACAGGCCTGGAACCCGGGTCAGCGAAGGGGAGCAGGGAGGTGGGGGGGTCAGCGACAGAAAGCCCCTTCCCCCTCATTCTCTGGACATGCAGAATGTTTGAGGTTCCAGTGTGGATTTGTGTTAGGACATTATTGTAATGTCTGTGTGATTGCGAGCTTTGTGGTTTGAGTTGTGTCTCAAATGGGGTGTTCTGGGGGCCTGCATGCTGTGTATATGGAGTGCCTCGTTTGTGTGTCCCCAGCACGTGTTAGCTCCGTGTGTTTGTGGCTGTGCCGCATTTCTGGGGTGTGCGTCTGCGTTTTGTATTTCTGCTGGGCAAGCTGTTGTATTTTCTGTGGGTTTTGTGCCCTGGCACTGTTTGATTCTGCCAGTTGGCCATGTATCTGGGGCATATCTTCACTGTTATTCTGGGTATAAATTTGTACATTTTTTAGTGTAAGTTTGACTTGAAATGTGGGTGTTTTCTGCATGTTAATCGATCTGTGTGAATGTGTGTGTGTGTGTGTGTTTGTGTGAGATGGAGTCTTGCTCTGTTGCACAGGCTGGAGTGCAATGGCACAATCTCGGCTCAGTGCAACCTTCGCCTCCTGGGCTCAAACGATTCTCCTGCCTCAGCTTCCCGAGCAGCTGGAAATTACAGACACCCACCATCATGCCTGGCTCATTTTTGTATTTTTAGTAGAGATGGGGTTTCACCATGTTGGCTAGCCTGTCTCAAACTCCTGACCTCATGAGCTACCCACCTCAGCCTTCCAAAGTGCTGGGGCTACAGACGTGAGCCACCACGCCCAGCTGTGTGTGTTCTTACACGAGACTGGTGAGTTGTGAGTTGTTTTCTGGGTTGCATTGTGATCAGTGTGTGTCACTGGTATTCTGAGCATGTTTGTGTGTCTACGTGGTGTGTCCAGCATGCTTGCTGTGGTTCTTGGTGTATGCGTGTGTGAGGGAGGGCTGTACTTCCGGGTTGTGTGTCCATCTCAGGGACTGGTGTTTCCGGCCTGTGGGTGCTGTGAGCAGGTGCTAAAGTGGTGTCTGCATTGTGTTCCCACAGGAGAGCTGGCAACTGCGGTGTGTGGAGTTGTGTGTGTCTGTTGTGCATCACCATTGAGGGCATTTCACATTCTCAACAGGGTTGGATGTGTGTATTGCAAGCAGCTGCGAGTGTGGGTCTTGGGTCTGCATTGTGTGCTGGGTGCATCCATGAAGCTGCCGGCATCGTAAGTGGCCAGTGCCTGTTGGCCTCCATACCCAGCACAGGCTGTTTCTGCGGCGCGTCCCCTTACCAGCTGGTGCCACGCTGGCTCGAAGCTGGCTGTGGCAGCAGGCAGGGCAGGGCAGGGGCTGTGGTGGGCACTGGACCCACGCCCAGCCTCGGTATAAATATCCCAGGCTGCCGTCGGCTGTGTTTGCTGTGTTTACTCGGCCTCAGCCCCGGCCCGGGGGCGGCAGCAGCCCAGCAGGTCCAGGGGGTGGGGGTGACCAGGCCACAGCACAGACATTTCCTTCTGGACAGACAGGCCCCGCAACCTCGCTGCCCCCTCCTGCGCCCTTTTTGGGTGGGCGAGAGGTGGTGACCTCTCATTCTGGGTTTCCAGGGGCTGCCAGTGAGGCTCCAACCAGGTTGTCCCAGCTGGGATTCCCAGAGTGTGGGAGACAGATGGGGACTGGGGTACAGGCCAAGACACACAGCAGGGAGGGGAAAGGGCAAAGTGAGGGTAGAACAGAGCCCCCAAGAGGGAGGCTCCAGCAGAGACAGGGACAGGGAAACGAGGTGGCAGGAGCTGAGAATGGCTGGGGACAAGGAGTGGAAAAGGTGGGGAGGAGAGGGAGGGAGGGAGAAGCATGTGAAAAACAAGGGAGGAGGGGGGAGACGGAAAGTAATGGGGAGACACTGACAACTAGAGAGGTGCGGAGACAGAACCAGAAGACAGCAGTGGCGGTGAGGGAGGAAGGCAGCGGGCAGGAAGGAAACGCAGAGAAGCAGGGAGAAGTGACTGTGGACAGAAGGACGGAGCAACAGGAGCTGGAGGGGGAGTGCAGGGAGGCAGCTCACTCTGGCAGGACGCACGGGGGG